TAGAGATGTGGAACTGTAAGCCAAATAAAAACAAACCCTTTCCTCTCCAATGTACTTTTGGTCATGCTATTTCATCTTAGCAATAGTAACCCTAAGATAGTACATTAGAATTAAATATAGTCCTGAATTTCAAGATCTTGAAAATGAAAAAGTTTAGTCCTTGAAAAATTTAGTTCTGTATAATTAAAATCTTCAGCGAAATTTAATTTCCAGCATTCCCAAATATTTAACATTTCTATGTAATATAGAGGGTACTCAGAAGTTTATACTGTGTCAAATTTCATTTTTTTTTATTTCTGTCCAAGTTTTACTGCTTTTTAATATAATGAGACAAAAATATTTCCATCTTCTAGTCCATGATAATACAAGTATCTAAGCAGCAAATGATTCTATTCAATGTATATGCGCACAGATCCCTACTTTATATGCTTATTCCTCCATATCAAATGATAACCAATTATTTTTAAGATTAAATACTCTAAAAATTCCTTACCAAAAGGAATATGTTAGGGAAACATCTTTCAAAGTCATCAAAATTAAAGAAAAATCCAAAAACCATTTCAATTAAAAGCAGTCTAGGAAATAAAGACAACTAAACATAACATAGAACTCAAAGGGTATCATAGAACATATAAGGGTAAAGAATAGCCTTCGGTTAACAATATGTATATATCTCATGGTTACAAACATACCTTCTTGTTATAACAGGAGAAACTTGATACAAAACAAACAGGAACTCTACAATGTTATTTATCTACAAACCAAAGTTGCTTAAAAAAAGAAAAAAACAACTGAAATCTACTTGGAACTGAAAGAGAATGTCAGGGAAGATGGGTTAATCATCCAGTAAGCATGGTATTTCTTTGAACATAAGCCCTAGGCAAATCAAACAATATTATCCTCAAAATTAGTCTAAGCACAGTAAACATTAGACTGATTAGTCTAAGCACAGTAAACATCATTAACAATTCAAGTTACTCAAAATAAAGGTATTTATTATACATGCATCAGTTTTTGCAGTTCACCAATTTGCAAGAGAGCTAGCAAAATAGACACTCCAATTTAAAATCCTTTTGGAGAGCAGATCTTTTCAAGGGCCATATATGAATGCAATATATGTATTTAGTGCTTTACCTCACTTTTTGTTAGCCAAAAATCAAACTAAAAAGTAAGAGAAGGCAAGAAGGAAGAGAGGAAGGAAAAAGAGGATTGAGGGAGAAAAATCTAGTATGCAAGTGCAGCAAAAACTAAAGATTTCAAACTAACAGAGACTGAGAACTAACACTAGCATACAATCCACAGCTCTGTGGCCGTCACCATAAAAACAATAGGAGCTAGAAAGGTGGCATACCCCTGCAGTCCCAGCACTCAGGACTCTGTGGCCGTCACCATAAACACAGGAGCTAGAAAGGTGGCATACCCCTGCAGTCCCAGCACTCAGGACTCTGTGGCCGTCACCATAAAAACAACAGGAGCTAGAAAGGTGGCATACCCCTGTAGTCCCAGCACTCAGGACTCTGTGGCCTTCACCATAAAAACAACAGGAGCTAGAAAGGTGGCATACCCCTGCAGTCCCAGCACTCAGGGCTCTGTGGCCGTCACCATAAAAACAACAGGAGCTAGAAAGGTGGCATACCCCTGTAGTCCCAGCACTCAGGACTCTGTGGCAGTCCTCCCGCCACAGTCCCAGATCAGTCTGGGCTACAGAGTGAATCCCTGTGTCCAGTAAACAAACAAATACATGAATCTAAAAGATTAAGCATAACTAAAATGTAATTCTGAAAGGGTAGAACAAAATTATAACATAATTTAGAATTTTTCTGTTTTTTTATTTATTTTAGAAGCACTCTTATTTACATATCCATCCCCCCCATCCTCCCATGCTTCCCACCGACACCACAACCCACCCCAGACCCACTCCCCAGGGATAGTGAGGCCCTCCATGGGAATTTTTTAAATGTTAAGAAAAAAATCAAGGGTTGGAGAGATGGCTCAGACGTTAAGAGCACTGACTGCTCTTCCAGAGGTCCTGAGTTCAATTCCCAGCAACCACATGGTGGCTCACAACCATCTGTAATGAAATCTGGTGCCCTCTTCTGGTATGTGAAGACATACATGGAGGCAGGATGTTGTATTCATAATAAATAAATAAATCTTTAAGAAAAAAATCAAAACAGCAATTACATGCCAAACAAGTAAGATATCCTAGAAAGAAATTTTTTGTTTACGTTTTAAGCTTTTGAGGGAGATGGCACTGGGGAAATGGCTCAATCATAAAATGTTTGTCATGCAAGTAGCAGGACCTGAGTTCAATCCTCAGAACCCACAAAAATGAAAGCCCAGACATGAATTTTCCCCCTTGTAATTCCAGTGCTGGGGAAGCAGAGACAGGTAGTCTCGAGGTTGCTAGCCTGACAACTTAGTCTACTTAGAGAGCTCCAGGGAAGTGAGAGACCCTGACTCAAAAGAAAAACAAAAGGTAAACAACACCTGTAGTGACAGCTTGAGGGAGTCCCTGGGCCTCCACACATTTGAATACACATGAATGTACACACAAGAGGTCACACAATACACACCAACATACATCTTTTTCAAGTTAAAAATGATAGCCTCATCTCCTTATTCTCCAAGGTATCTGCCTGTAAATATTCATACATTCTAAATGCCTTTACTAACTTGAGAGAGAGGAATGCGTGCCTGTATGCCATGGTGTATACGTGGAGGTCAAATCAAAGGACACCCTGCAGGAGTCAGTTCTCTCTCTCCACATGTGGATCCTGGGGGTAGAACTCAGGTCATCACACTTGGCAGCAAATGTGTACCCACAGAGTCATCTTACCTGCTCCTTAAATGCGTTTTCTAAATGACTGATTACAATATAGCTAAATATTAATTCTCTCTTATAACGATATTCGATACTATATAAGGAAAACAATATATTTATTTACCAGAGAGAGAGAGGGAGAGAGTCGCACAGACCAGGAGTTAGAAACGTGGCTGGCTTCCAGGAGAAAAAGGGAAGCCCCTTTACCTTTCACTTCCTTTTATATCTACCTTGACCACGCCCTGTTGGGCGGATAGCTTTATGGGGTCCACTCCTACATTCTCTAAGACTACCCAAAAGCAGTACAAGTATCTAAAACAAATGAAATCAGCAGTAACTTTTCTAGAATTATTGTATGTTGTCAGAAGAATTTATTTTATTTGGGTCTCAAAAGTTTCTAAGAAATGTTTAAATTCTTAAAATAACTTACTTTAAATACTAAAATACCTAGGAAACTAACAGCCACAGTTTTATGTAAAATACCACACTCACACTAAAAATCATATTGTAATACTGTTATTACTTATCCATAGAATTTCTTACACATTGTTAAATAATTCCTACAGTCAAACCATTAGCCATATCTATCATACCAATTTTCCTGTATGTGGAGAGAACACATAAAATCCACTCTTTGCAAATTTCAAATAACCAATACAGCATTACTAACTATAGTCGGTACTGTACACTAGCAGTCTAGGTGTTATATTCATCTATATAACTGAAACTCTATTCTTTAACCAGTATTTCCCTATTTGTCCCATCACTTCTCTGTATCTGGAAACAAAAATTTTACTTTCTGTTTCTATGAATTCAGTATTTCGTAATTAGTACTTCTCGTATATATACAAAAGTGTTTTACATATAACAAAACTTTTCTATGATTGCTAAACAAATGTTTAAACTATAGAAAAACTTAACACTAATTATGAATATGGAAATTTCACTAGAAACAAATATATGTAATTTATTTTAATATGTGAACTTTTACTTTTACCAAAAAAGCAGTAAAAAGAAATGAACTCCAACCCAAATCCTAGTTATAAAGACTGAATGAATTCTTCCCACACAGCAATACCAATTAGAAGACCTAAAAAACGTGACTCGTTTAATCTTCATGGTCCTTGTAAATATTTATAAGATTTATAAGATTCCTTTCTCAAAGTTATAAATGGTTTTGTAACTTTAAAACCAGCTTTAATCCTGTAAGGACTAGAGTTATAGTTTTCTATGTATTTTATATTCTTCAATGACACAAATCTTAAAAATTTATCAGATTCTAGTGAAAAAATACAAAAATTAAAAACTAATGCAAACTCAAAATATCTTCACATTCCTCTTTAGGAGATATTCCATATAATCATTTAAAACAGCTTCTGGGAGCTGGTGAAGTGGTTCAGTAGGTAAAAGCACTTCCCCCAGAAGCCTGAAATCCTGAGTTCAATCCCTGTAACCCACATAAAAGAGGAAGACTGAGTCCACTCGACAATTACTCTCTGACCTCCACATGTAAGCCCTGACACACATGCCCCCACACACCAACGTCATACACACAATAACAGTAAACTAAATTTAAATAATTCACAATTAAAATAAAATTACTTGCGGTTTGATAAGATAATGGTGATGATGGCATGGTAGGAAGCACAACTCCGAACATGGGTTGTTATAAGAAATGCTTCTTTCTGTATATTCCCATATAAACTATGCAAAGAATTCATAGATACTCAACTGTCTTCCTCATTTTAAATTACTTTACTTTTTATTAAGTAACTGCGTTATTTTAAAACAAACTTTAACCCTCACAAAAATCTTCGTTCTCCAGAAGGAAATCATAAAAATGAAAAGATATTAATAACAGATATTCCAAAGATTATTATCTGTAAGGGAAAAGACTGCTAACATACAGACAAAATTAATTAAATTTCAAGCTTCAATCCAATTATATACTTTAATCTCAATAAACATTCAGTATTCAGACTTATCAACATATTTTCATAAAATACAAACAAAATAAATTTATTGTTATTTACCCTAAGTCATGTGTCAGATTACCAAGTATAAATGAACATAAAAGCATTTAACTTTTTGCACACCACCAACACACACTTGTGAACTCACTTGTATAAATATGGATCTTTCCAACAGCAGCAGCAGTTTCTACAAAGTTATTTACCTTGTCCTGGTTTTGCAGTTACAGCTGCTCCAGCAGATGGCGGCTCAAACTCCTGTCAATTACAATAAAGCTTAAATTATACAGTCCCTAATACAATGTATAAATTGTAATGAAAAAACAGTAGTGTCACAGTTTACCTTTGCTTTCTTTGAGTCTGGATCAAACCTTTCAAGAATTAGCTTAGCTGTCTTATAAGTTTCTTTTTCCATGACTTCTTCAAGCTACAAACAAAAATTTCCATAAATTGTTGTATTTTGAAACATATACTACTTATTTTTATAAATCTTATTCAAAAGTTATTAAACTTTCAATCTTTGAATTAAGAAAAATAAAGCCATCCCTCTCCCTTTGCACTTATATTCATCAAATGAATCTAAGTAGAAAGATTATCTACAATCAAATACTTAAAATCCATGCTTTTAAAATAGTTTCTAACCTCTAATACATTGCTTGTATTTTAGCAGCTTTACTGCAAGGAAATACCAAATATCGCTAATTGTTTACATATAATGAGGAGAATAATTACATGCACCAACTTCAATAATGGAATGTGCAAAAATCTATCAGCCATCATTATTGGAAGTTATTAGACATGACAAGCAAATGACAGGCAATTCCTCAGATTTATTTCCTCATAGCACTTAATGCTATTAATTTAAGAAGGTCGTTAGCCAACAGCTATACAAAATAAAATCTCTGTGCCAATTAACTGCTGTCAGCATCGATTTTAGATTATTTATTAGCAGAAGCAATTAGCTTGCTGCAAATGCAGTGGAAACTCACTAACTGGGAGAACAGCCATGGAATTTGCTCAAGTGACTCAAAAAACTAACACCCTCCCACTCCTGTTTTTTTTACTTAGATTCAAACAGCCTTAGAAGAAAAAACTAAACACAGGATTTAAGTAAAATTTTTACTGAGATTTATGCTCACACTAGCGACTGTAATACTTCATTGCTATAGTGCTTTATTTACAATGCTCTCAAGTCACTTTATAACCTAATACAGGGGTTCGATTTTAAAAGTAATAACTAGTAAAATATTTCAGCAGAAAAAGTTGAAATGTAGTACAAGAAACTCAGTTATGACAAATAACTCATGTTGAACATAAAATGATTTTGGAAAAAATGGAACAGAACCTTTTCCTTCTCAATGGCCAATGACCACTTATACTCATTATATGTCATGTTATTTAAAAAGCTACCCAGACCACATTTACTCAGATAAAAGTAGAAACACACCTCCCCCTCCACCCTTCGCCTGCCCTCTGCTTGAGGTGAGTGTGGGCTCTGCTCGGGGGCCCCAACTACACCACCACCCCCCATTAGCTCTTCCTGGGCCTGCTCCTCTCCTAGAGTGGACCCGCCTAGGCAGGAAAGACAACCCTGAGTCTGGCCACACCTCACTCTTGGTTCCCACTCTGTCCTCTGCTCTCTGCTTGAGTGACGAGAATACCAGGAAAGGAAAGGCCAGATCATTCAGAGTTGCAGACACTTGCAGTCTTGGCCCAAATATGCCACCAGGAGAGGAGAGGAGACGGAGAGGCCCCACCTGTACCCATTCGAGGAAGGGATGGGAAGAAGACAGTATAAGAACACACTCAGCAATAGAAAGACCAATATGACACCACCAGAATCTAGGGACTCCACACCAGCAAGACCTGAAAAGCGCAACACAGATGAAGCAGAAGAGAATGACCTTAAAACCCATTTTATGAATATGATAGAGACCCTTAAAGAGGAAACGAGAAAATCACTTAAAGAAATAGAAGAAAAAAAAGCAAACAAATACATGATATGGAGAAAAAGACAAACCAAAAAATTCAAGATATAGACATATCTCTTAAAGAACCTAAAGAAAGCAAAGAAAAAGCAACAAGTGAAGAAAACAATTCAAACAGTTCAAGGCCTGAAAGCTGACATAGAAACAATAAAGAAAACAAAGAATGAGGGGATGTTGGAAATAAAAAAGATGGGTAAACAATCAGCAACTACAGATGTAAGTATAACCAATGGAATACAAGGAAGAGAGAATCTCAGACACTGAAGACTCACTAGAGGATATACAGTCATCGACCAAAGAAAATCTCAAGTCCATCAAATCCCTAACACAAAATATCCAGGAAATATGGGATAATAGGTATAGAAGACGGTGAAGAAATGCAGCTCAAAGGTACAAAAAACATATTCAACAAAATCATAGAAGAAAACTTCCCCAACCTAAAGAAGCGCATGCCTATGAAAGAAGAAGATATTTACAGAACACCAAATGGACTGGATCACAAAATGAGGGCCCCTCGCCACATAATAATCAAAACACCAAACTCACAGAATAAAGAAAAGATATTAAGAGATCACCAAAAGAAAAAAGGTCAAGTAACATATAAAAGCAGACCTATCTGAATTACACCAAACTTCTAAATGGTAACTTTGAAAGCCAGAAGGTCCTGGGCAGATATTCTACAAACACTAAAGGAACATGGATGCCAGCCCAGACTACTATATCCAGCAAAGCTTTCAATCACTATAGATGGAGAAAACAAGATATTCCATGACAAAACCATATATAAACAATACATATCCACAAATCCAGCCCTACAGAAAGTACTGGAAGAAAAACTCCAACCCAATGAAGACAACTATACTCACAACAACATAGGCAATAGATAATCCCACTTTACCAAACACCAAAAGAAAAAAACAGGGGGGACATACACACACACAATAACATCACCACCAACAAATCCAAAACAAACAAGAATCAGCAATGGTCATTATTATCCCTCAATGTCAATGATCTTAACTTGCCTATAAAAAGACACAGGCTAACAGAATGGATACAAAGACAGATTCCATTCCTTCTGCTACATGAAATGTTATCTCATAGTAAAGGGATGGGAAAAGATTTTCTAATCAAATAGACCCAAGAAACAAGCTGGTATAGCAATCCTAATATCTAACAAATTAGACTTCAAACTGAAATCAATCAAAAGAGATGAAGAAAGAGATTTCCTAGTCATCACAGGAAAAGTCCATCAAGATGAAGTCTCAATTCTGAACATCTATGCCCCAAATACAAAGGCACCCATATTCATAAAAGAAACATTACTAAAGCTCAAATCACATATAAAACCTCACACATTCGCAGGCAAATGGATGGAACTGGAAGAAAACATCCTGAGTGAGGTAACCCAGTCACAGAAAGACAATCAGGGTATGTATTAACTCATATATGGATATCAGACAGAGCAAAGGACTACCAGCCTACATTCACACCACCAGAGAAACTAGGAAACAGGGAGGACCCCAAGAGAAGAACGCATGATCCCCTGAAGAAGGGGAGGGGGACAAAAACCCCTGAGCAAAATGGGAACATGGGGGAGAGAGGAGGGATGTGGAAGGCGAGAGGATGAGGAAGGAGGGGAGGAGAAGAAGAACAGGAGGACTGAGACGGGAGGAACAGGGGAGGGCAAGATAGGAGATGCCTTGATAATGGGAGCTAGCATAGGTTTGGAGAGATGTCTGGCACAGTGGAAATGTTAGGGGATCTACAGGGATGACCCCAACTAAGAATCTCGGCAGTGATGGAGAGGCTGCCTTTGATGGATGCCCTTTCCCTATAATGAGACTGATGACTACCTTGGTTGCCATTCCTAGAGCCTTTACCTAGTAGCTGATCAAAGCAGAAACAGGCACCCACAGCTAAACACTGAGCCATACTCCTGGAATCCAGTTGCAGAGAGGGAGGAGGGATGAGCTAAGGAGCCAAGATGGTGCTGGAGAAAGCCACAGAAACAGTTGACCTGACCTAATGAGAGCACAGAGACCCTAGTTGTAAAGCTGGGGAACCAGCATTGGACTGAACCAAGACCTCTGAATGTGGGTGCCAGCTAGGAAGTCACGGCAGTCTATGGGACCTCTAACAGTGGAGCCAGTGTTTATCCCTAGAGCACAAATGGACTTTGGGAGCCTGTTCCCTATGGAAGGACACTATTGCAGTCCAGATATGGGAAGGAGGGCCTGGGTCCTCCCCCCAAATGATGTGATGGTCTTTGATGGTCCCCATGGAGTGGGTAGAGGGTGGGGGTTTTGTAGGGGGGTCGGTGAGGAGGATGGGAGGGCTAGAGAATGGGGGGGAATTGGTATGTAAATAAGAGTGCTTCTAAAATTAAAAGATATATGTAAACAATAAATAAAAAGAAATACATCACAATAGAAATTAATAGATTCCCCATTAAACATTTAACAAAGTTCTTAGATGATTTATAATTCTCAATTTAGTAAAACTAAAATATTTTACTAATATTTCAAAATTATAATAAATTCTCAAGCAAGTTCAATTTTTTTGTTTTGTTTTTGTTGTTGTTTTTTGTTTTTTGAGACAGGGTCTTGAAATTTTCTCTGTATTGTTTTGGAGGCTGTCCTGGCACACACTTTGTAGACCTGGCCTTGAACTCACAGAGATCCACCTGCCTCTGCCTCTCAAGTGTTGGGATTAGAGCCATGCACCACGAACACCCGACAGTTTAATTTTATGATGTAAAATTCATTTTGGACAGGGAAAAATTAAGAATAGAGGTAGAGAAAGAGTATCATGGAATACATCCCCAAATCAATGTCATCATGGAGTAAGTAATAACTTTTAACCCTGTTATACAACAGAACTCTCGGTGGTGACCCAGATGCTCTACACTGGCGCCATAGAAGTCACTAAGATGACTATGGTGAGTGAGAACACTTAAAATGTGGCTGTATGACCTACAAATTAAATTTACAGTTTTACTTCAGCATAAATAATGAAAATGGTCAATGTGGCAAGAAACTACCAATTTGATCAGTGTAACTACTGATGCAACCTACTGCTAGGTTTACAAAGATTGGTATATTAAGAAAATTAAGCCAGTCTCAGAAAAACAGGTATCATATGTTGTCTCCTGGATGTGGTTAATACATTTTATACACACACACAAAACCATGTAGACATATGTGACATGAAGAAAAAGGGAAACTATCTATGGGAACAAAGGGTATTAATGGAAGTGAGGAGAGCTGGGAGATATAAGGAGAATTTGCTCAATATATAATACATGCTTGTATGAATATGTCCTTATGTAAGATAATAAATATAATGAATATATGCAGTGAAAGCTTTTAAGATAAAAATGTTTTAAAATTTCAAAAAGATTAGATACAACCATAATCTTTAACAGAGAACTCGAAGTCAAAATGTTATTTCTAGTAGATCACTCAGCCTTTGTGTGTCTGTGTTTCATTTATCTTAAATAAGATAATTTGTAAAGCACTAATAGGTACAAATCTATTCCCCTTTAAGTTTTTTTAATATTTCTTTTTCCGAGACAGTGTTTCTCTGTGTAGCTTTGGAGGCTGTCCAGGAACTCGCTCTGTAGACCAGGTTGGCCTTGAACTCACAGAGATCCACCTGCCTCTGCCTCCTGAGTACTGAGATTAAAAGTGTGCACCACCAACGTCCAACAAGTTTTTTAATTTTTACTTAGAATTATTTTCATACTATATGCACCCATCATGAGGTACTGTGCTCTATCAAGGGTCAAAACCTTTAAAGCCAGGACCAAAGTAAATTGTCATCCAATTAAGTTGAATACCTCAGTTATTTGTCACAGCAACAGAAAACTAAGACAACTTATTACTCTAGACAAAAGTACATTAAACAGACCATATATACTTGAATACTTGATTAAATTTCATTTTATTAGTTTCTACATAACATCATACTGTCAGCAATCACCACTATTTCCACACTTTAATACTAAGAATATGTGAAACCACTAAGACAAACCTGAAGATGCACTCACTTACACAGACTCTCACATGTCCACCACTGAGCACCTCGGCCCTTTTTCTTACACTAGCACTCCTCCCAAAACACCCAAGCAGTCACTAACTGGCCTCACAGCAGGGATCCATGTGCTCACCATTCCTGGGGTAAACTAAAAGACACTGAAAAATCATATTCCCTCGTTTCAGTCTTTTCAATTTGCTTCTACAACTAATCCTAATATTCTCTCCCCAGCCCCCTACCCCTGTCTGTCTCATGGTACTAAGGAAACACAAGAATTAACACAAGTATATAGTTCCTCCGTTTGGGACTCTAGTAAACAATCTGGACTCACCTTCATACCCTCTCTGCCTCATTTAGTTCTTCAATATAAATTATCTGCTTACTTCTCAGCTTCCAGTTAACATAAGTTCTCAGAATCTCAAAACTCCACATACCTAACCAATTTTTTCCAGTGTATTTTCATTAACTAAAAAAAAAAAATTCATAGTAATTTCAACATTAATACTGTCAAAAGTGTTCCTTGGAGAGTAACTAAGATACAACATATAAACATTACTTATCCATTTCTTAACTTATTTATATAAATTAACTTTAAATAAAATTTAACTTACTATCTTTTTCTTCTGGGATTTTAAATCATCCAGTGCTTCATCTGGAAAACAAGATTTAAATCAAAGACAAATCAAGTATTAAGATGCTTAGATATGAGGCTCAATCATCATATATAATATATATGAAGCAAACACAAGACAATGTTCAGGATTTCTCTAAATTTATCACATATTGTAAAGATAAAAATTATCTTAATGTTAACCTATACATTTCATGTTCTGCCTGTATTATACATTTCATGATTTAGGAAAAATTTAAATGGACTTTCTACAGACAAAATTTTTTAATAATTTATTCTTATTTTATGTGCATTGGTGTTTTGGCCTTCATGTATGTCTGTATGAGGGTGTCAGATCCCCTGTAACTGGAGTTATAGACAATTGTGAGCTGTCATGTGGGTGCTGGGAATTGAACCTGGGTCCTCGAGAAGAGTAACCAGTGCTCCTAATTGCTAAGTCATCCATCTCTCCAGCCTCTAGACAAAATTCTTAGTGTTTTCAGAAAAACACTTTTACTTTGTTTCAACATTCCACCCACATTAATTTATAAATACCAAATCTCCTTTTATATACTAATAAAAAATTTTTGTTTATAAGTATGTTAGTTATTTTAAAAAATAATTAACTTTTGAAAAATTTTCCTATACCTGAGAAGAAATTTACAAAGAGGTATCAGTAGCTTATCAAAATTAAAGAGTTCTAAAATTTTCATGCTTATTTAAGTTGGCATAATGAAACATGAAGAATCATATCAAAAGATATCCCTAAGTCAGGTATGGTGCTGCATACTTTTAAGCCCAAGGAGAGGCAGAAGCAGAAAGATTTTTGTGAGTTCAAGGCCAGCCTGGTCTACATAAGATTTCTAGGTACCAGAGCTACAAATTGAAACTCTGTCCCAAAAATAATAATTTTTAAATAAAAAAGATAATTTGGAAATATAAAAGAGAGGTTGGAGAGATGGCTCAGAGATTAAGGGCACTTATTGGTCTTGCAGAGGACACAGGTTCACTTCCCAGCACCCACATGATAGCTCACCACCACCCTTAATTCAAGTTCCAGGGGATCTGACACCCTCGTTCTAATCTCCACAGGCACCAGGCACTCCACATGCATGCAGGCAAAACACACACATACAAAAAGAAATCCCTTTACAAATGTACTGACTTTGTAGTTTTTCTGTAGAAAGTTAGTAAAAATAAGTAACTTCTACAAGTTGTTCTCTGACCTCCGCACATACAATGTGGCACATCTACACATACCAGTAGTTATACACAAACACAATAAATAATATAGTTTTTTATTTAAGAAAAGACTAAATTTGCCAGGGAACAATAATAGTACTATATAACAACTATCAATACACATTTGGTTTGGTAATCAGAGTTAGGTTTAGTGTATTTAAGGACCTGGAGAGATGGCTCAGCAGTTGAAGAACACTTGCTACTTTGGCACAGGAATAGAATTTGGTTCCAAACACCCATTTTGGGCAACTCACAACCACTGTAACTCCAGTTCCAATGATCCAATGCCCTCTTCTAGCCTCTAGTACACCTGTACTACATACATGTAGCATGTAAACACACAGGCAGATACATGTGTGTGTATGTATAATAAAACTTTTTAAGTAAAAATTTGTATATTCAAATAGTGTTTGTCAAAGATTAGACATAAATATATTTAAACAGGATAGGGCATGCCAAATAAAGAGGATAAGGAAAAGTGTAGGGAAAAAAAAAATCACAGGTGACTGAAAATAAGTGGTTATTTGGGCTAGACCACATATCCTAAACCGGACAGAAGTGAGGTCATATGCAAGGAGGCTACTTTAAAGGCCATCTATCTGTACACCTTATTTACACACTGAATTAAGCAAAATATTTTTAAAGCAAGTAGCACTTCTTAAACTACTGGAAGTTTACTATTTTTATATTTTATATTAATATTTCTAAGTATGATAAATGTATTACATTCTTATTACTCTATTAAAAGACATACTTCAAAATAATATAAGCAGTGTAGGTGGGGGCAAAAATGAAATTAAGATAGAGAATGAGTTGATTATAGGTATACAAGAGATCAATATATTAAACTTCGTACAGTGAAAAAGAAACAAAAAACAAGAAAAGAAAAGGAAGTATACCTATGGAAAGTTAGTTAAAGATGAAAGTATTGAGCACAGAGAAGTATTGAACACTAGTGAAGACTAGTGTTCATGGACTAAAAGATACTCCACAAACCCTGTGATCTACATGGTGGCCTGTCTACATGACACGCGGGCACAACAATAGGACAAAGGTTGTGGGAGTGACCACCTGCTCTCTGCTTGGATTTAAGGGCCACTCCAAGGATGGACTCAGGCCAAAGGCCTGAGCCTAGACATGCCATGGACCTAGGAGAAAACCAAATACTATTGTTCTGCTAAAACAGTGCTTTTCAACCTGGGTCCCAACTGTTTTAGCTGTCAGGTGACCCTTTCACAGGGGTCACATATCAGATATCCTGCATATCAGTTATTTACATTACAACTCGTAACAGAAGCAAAATGACAGTTGTGAAGTAGCAATAAAAATAATTTTATGGTTAGGGTTCACCACAACAGTATTAAGGGGCCACAGCATTAGGAAGGTTGAGAACCACTGTGCTAAAGGAACATAATAAAATGGCTCCTCATGACATTCTGCCATACCCATACATAGATCAATGCCTCACTCAAGCATCATGAGAGAAGCTTTCTCTTGTAGTACATGGGAGCTAACACACAGATCCACAACTAGACAATACTCAGAGAGTGAGAGGCTTTGGAACATACAGTCCTAATGGGATGTCTTCCCCAAATTCCTTCCCTCAGGGAATCAGAGAGCTATGAGGAAGAGGCAGTGGAAAGACTGTAAGAGCCAAAGGGGATGAGTGACGCTAAGGAAACTGTCTTCCAGACAAACCAGGACGGATGCATATATGAACTCACAGAGACTTACGGCAGCATGCACAGGGCTTGACAGATTCAAGCCAGACAGGGTTCCAGTGCTGAAAGGTAGAAGTTGATACTATCTCCCATCCCTTAACCAAAAAGTTTCTCCAAAAGACATCATCCTCTTGCAAAGGAAAAATTAGTTTTTTCCAATGATGTCTCATTGGACATGTTAACCACACTTAAGGGTATGTCCCATGCCTAATAGTAGTATATGGCCAACACAAAATAAATTCAAAGGTATTTTTATAGGTTTTTGTCTCATATTTGCTTTGTTTAGACATATTTTTAGTCTTACTGGGTTTTTTGCTTACATATTATATTTTTGATTTTGTGCTTTCATGGGTTTTGTTTTTGCATGTATCTGAGTGTGTGTGTGTGTGTGTGTGTGTGTGTGTGTGTGTGTGTGTGTGTGTGTGTGTTTCTTGTGATTTTTCTTTGTTTTTGCTTTTCCTACTGTGGCTGTTTTTTAATTGTCTAGTTGTTTTCTAAAGAGAGAAAAGGCTTGTAGTATTGGCTTAGTGTGGAAGTGGGGAGGATCTGGGAGAAGTTGAGGGAAGTAAAACAGAGATTAGAATATACTGTATAAAAAAACTTTTCAATAAATAACATATAACTGATTAAGATATTTTGTAAGACTTGAAAATTTTTAAAACTTGCACATATATAAAACATACACAGAAGCTGATTTTTGGATTTTTGGATTTCATTTAAAACAAAGCAAAATGGCTGTGAAGTTGGTGAGAGCAATATAGTTAAAAGAAAAGTCAGAAGGCTAGAGTGGTTAAAAGCACTGATTACTCTTCCAGACAATCCAGGTTCAATTCCTAGCACACACTCATAACCATCTTTAGCCAGGGGTCCTATGACCTCTTCTGAACTCCAGAGGTACCACGTGGCACACACACACATGGAATAGACAAATATGCAGCTAAAATACCCTACACATAAAATAATAAAATGAATAAAAAGAACAAGAATATATATGCTTTATTTTACTCTGCACCAATGTTTCCCACGAAGGCTAATTTAATAAATACAATTTGCCTTTATTTAAAAAAAAAAGTTGTGTAAAAAATTCTAAATAAGAATTGACACATTAAAAGCAGAAATTTCTTACAATATAAACTTTGTTGTATTGTACAGCAAACAATTCTGATACCATACTATGATCTCATAAACCATTTCATAACTGGCTTATAAAATATCACACACTAAGATGAGTTTGCTTATTGAATATATATTTATAAAAAATATTTGGAACTTAAAACTTACTATTTCTCTCTGTTCTCTTGGAAAAGAAGAAAATAAGCACAGTTCTTATGGTCCAGATTCTAGAGAGGAAGGAAAATTCAAAACAAAATCATCATTACAAGAGATGAATCAGAATCCATAGAATCTAATTAGGGTTAGGAATGTCTCTCTACGTATTGAAAATCAAAAAAATATCATATCTGTCAAGGAATATCAGAAGCTTGCCTGAGTTTTCAATAGAGGAGTTCTCAACCAAAACTACATGGGCCTTCTGAGGGTTCCCTTGGAATTATAAAACTGCTTTTATGAGTACATTTCTCTAGAGAAACCGCTACTTTTGTCAACTTCTAAAGGGTCTATGGATCCCCCAAGACATTAAGAACAATACTACAGAATTCTTTCTTTTATTAATATTTATTTTATTTTTATTTATGTGTATATGTCTGTGTGTTTTTCTGTGTATATGTGTGGTAATGCCCATGGAGACCAGAAAAAGGTATAAGATCACCTGTAGTTGGATACAACTGTCCACCAACTGACATAGATGCTGGGAACCAAACTCAAGTACTCTGCAAGAACAGCACAAGCCTTAAGCACTGAGACATCTCTCCAACCTCAACATGCTTTCTAATAAGTGCCAATTCCAAAAACTTTTCTTATATGTTCCCTTGTGTTAACAGGCAACATGTTTTGCTTTTCCAAACATGAGCATTATTATACAATCCACTAGAGAGATCTTCTTATTCTGTAGAAATGAGGGTGGGGGCTTACTTTCAAATAAATACTTGATTTTTAATAATTCCTTTAAAGATTTTCTGGTAGGGCTGGAGAGATGGCGCAGAGGTTAAGAGCACTGACTGCTCTTCCAGAAACCCTGAGTAGTGAAACCACATGGTGGCTCACAACCATCTGTAATGAGATCTGGTTACCTCTTATAACCTGCAGGGATACATGCAGACAGAGCACTGTATATAAAATAAATAAATAAATCTTTTATTTAAAAAAAATCTTACGGTATCTGAGTGGAGGTGGCGCATGTCTTTAATCCCAGCACTCGGAGGCAGAGGCAGGTGGATCTCTGTGAGTTCGAGGCTGGGCTGGACCGATCGCCTCTGAAACAATACAGAGAAACCCTGTCTCGTAAAAACCAAAAAAAAAAAAAAAAAAAAAAAAATTCTCAACAAAATATTTGCAATTCAAGAAAACATCAAAAAGATCATCTACCATGTACACCTGGTTTTGTTCCAGAAATGTAGGGATGGTGCAACATGCACAATCAGTAAATATAATGCATCATATTAATGGACTTCAAGACAGAAATCACATGATCATTTCAATAAATGCAGGAAAAACTTCTGACAAAATCTAATACTCCTTCATGAGAAGGGGGGTTAGGCTCTGAGGAACGTAGGAATAGAAGGAACAATAAAGCTATATAAAGCAAAGCTAGAGCCAACACTATCCTAAATGAGAAAAACTCAAAGCATTACCTAAAATCAAGAGCAGGAAAGGGTGTCTACTATCTCTACTCTGATACAACAGAGTGCTGTTTAAGGTCAGCTACAGGACTAAGGTAAGGAAATAAAAGGGTACAAAAATAGGGAAGGAAAAAGCCAAAGTATCCTTAATTGCAGGTGATAGAACTGTACACATAAGAGATCCTAAAGACCACAAAAAAACTGGCACACATTTTCAACAAAGAACGATACAAAACTAACATGTAATAATCAGTAGCCTCCCTGGGTACAAATAGTAACCATACAGACAAAGAAATCAGGGAAACAATCCCATTCACAATTTCCTCATGAAAAAAAAACAAAATGCTTTGGAATAAACTTAGCCAAGGAAGTGCAAGAAGATCTCTACAACGAAAACTTTGTAAAACTGAAGAAATTTAAGAAAACACTAGAAGTTGGGAAGATATTCCCCAGATACATGCTCATAGACTGGAAGAATAGATTGTGAAAATGATTTGTACTACCAAAAGCAATCTACAGATTCATTCAATGCAACCCCCATCAACATTACCCACAGAAGTGTGTGTGTGTGTGTGTGTGTGTGCATGCATGCACTCACTAGACATATCATAATACCTAATTCCAAGTTATACTACAGAGCTATAGTAATAAAAATACCATCTTTGCAGGATATTTGATCATACTGTGAGCCCTGAGATTGCATTACTTACTGAAACATTCTGTTTGTAGTTGTGGTGTGGTTTTAATCCAAGAGCACCTGTGCCTTACCTACATCTCAATTGTTCTACTCAGTTCTGACTTGGGAGCCAGATGCTAGGGTAAAAGCCTGCTGTCTCAGAAAAGCAGAGAAAGCACTTAGCTGACCTTCCTCCTCCGCCAACATTCCAGAAAAAGATCTTTCTCCAATGTGTTCTCAAACAAGACTCCTTAAACTGAACATCCCTCCCTTCTACTTTCTGCCTGTCTATCCTTCCAGCACCATGTCTGCCTGCACAGTCATGCCCTCCATCATGATAATAGACTGAACCTCTGAAGCTATAAGCAAGCCACCTCAATTTAAATGTTTTCTTTATAAGAGTTGCCATGACCACAGTGTCTCTTCACAATAGAAACCCTAAGACAATGAGCTAGAATGAAATGCGTAATTCTGAAGAGATGAAGTATATAATGACCAGTAAACATATGAAAAATGTTCAGCCTCACTATCTATCAAAGAAAGGCAAATTAAAATTACACTGAGATTCCATTTCTCATGCCAGTTAAGAAAACAACAGACGCTCTGGCAAGCATACAGATAAAAGGGGCCCCTTATATATGCTGCTGGTGGGAATGTGAGCTAATACAGCGATGGAAGGTTCTGAGAAAAAATAAAAATAGATCTACCCTAAGACACAGGTCTATCAATCCAAAGTATTTACTATTAAGGTCTCCAGGTCAACACATCGAGATACTTGCCTATCAGTGCTTACTGTTACACTATTCACAACAACTAAATTGTAGAATCAATACCTAAATGACCATCAATAGAGAAGTTAATAAAGTGTAGCATAAGTATACAATGGAATTTTTCAGTCATAAAGAAGAACAAAGTATATGTAGTTTTCAGGAAAATGAATGCAGGAGGACATAATCATATTAATCAAGTTAAGTAAGTCCAAAAAGGCAAACTCCCTATTCCACTTATTTTATAGACATACATAAAATATACAACAAATATACACTCATGAAAATTAAAGTGCAAAAAATACATTGTATCTGGATATAAATTTAGAATATAAGAAAGATACAGCACTGCTATTTGAAGACTTCATCTCCAAATGAAGGTATCAGCAGGTATCAGCAGCCCTACCTCCTCATACTCAGACCTTAAAACAGTCCTTTCACAGACTTCTGACAGAAGTGACAGCAAAGAGTAAGTTAGACAGAGCTCAGTCCCTCTCTTTGACAGTCTTTTCTTTCTTGGGTTACTTACTCTGAAAGTCAATGAGCCAGTGGTAAACACTTAAAGGACTGAAGCTTGCTAACAACGTATAAGCTTGGAAGTAGATGAGAAAATTACCAAAAATGCCTAAAACCATTGTCAGGTGTCATCATTGTATTTAGATTCAGAACCTACTTTGAAAGTGGAAAAACAATTAGCTCTGATATGATTTTTAACTGTGGCAGGGAAAATGAATCCATGTATAAGCATAGGTTTACAAAGCATGGCCTAGAAAAAAAAAAAAGAGAAAGATCCCAGCCAGGCAGTAGGGGTGCACACCTTTAATCCCACCACTCAGGAGACAGAGGCATGGAGATCTCTGCAAATTCCAGGCCAGGCAGGTGTACACATGTTGGGGAAGTCTTATGCTAATAAAGCAATGTCTGGCCAATAGGAATCTAGATAGGTGGGGCTAGGAATCCAGGAGGATTCTGGGTAGGAGAAACACAGGAGAGTCAACATGTGACGCCATGGGAGTAGGACACCGGGAACTATTCTCCGGTAAGAAACATACTTAGATTAACAATTATGGGGTAATTACTTAAGGCAGAGCTAGCCAGTAAGAGACGAACAAGGCCAACAGCTTCATAATTAATATAGCCTCCTGTGTGTTTATTTGGGACTCATGCGGATCTAGAACCAGGCTGGCGCGGCAGAGCCCAGGCGACTGGCGGGGGATATACCAAAGCAGCTAGCAAAGAAAAAGCTTCTCTTAACATACACAGGGAAATCTTGTTTCAAAAAAAAAAAAGAAAGAAAAAGAAAAGAAAAAGCTGAGATTAAAAATAAATTATCCAGAAATGTTGTATTTACAAAAGCATTGTTTCTATGACAAGGAGGGAGAAAAGAGATTCAGCCCTGTGAGAAAATGCAGTTACCTAACTTCACACAAAAACCTAGATATTAAGAAAAAATTCCAGTCACAGTAGAACACAGTTGAAGACATTCCATTCATTCCAAACAAATCTCCCACAAATAACTGACTCAAAATAAACATAATATACAGAAAATCTTTTTTACAAAACTAAAAAAAGTACATTATATTTCAAATTTTCTTATCAGTAAAGTACACTAAACTTTAAACCAGAAATTCAAAAAGAGATTGACATACTAGATCATAAGATAAAATCTAATTCTTAACATGAACTAATTTTCAAACTGTTTTCTCAGACTGAAAATTATGAACAGAGACATACCAGGGACAAATAAAATAAAAAGTGTATGTTAATACCACAAAACGAAACACTAGAGAAAGTCACTTATCTTTTTAATTTTATTACCACAAATTAGTTGTATAAGATAATGGGTTTCATTATAATGTTTCCTTATATATGTACATATTGTGCATCTTTTAAAAGATCTATTAAAATAGTTTTTAAAGGTATGATTCCTTTCTAAAAATTCATCCACTAGGCAGCGTCTGGGGGTTAGAAAGACTTCAAGCAACTTCTCATTCTTATACAAAAATCAATTAAAAATACGTTACAACCAAGTATAACACATAATTAAGCAAGAAATTCTTAAAATTGACAAGAAAAACAAGATTCATAAAAAGAAAACTGACAAAGAGCATCTCATCAAAAAAAATCTTTTTTAACTTGTTATGGGACCCTTGAGCTGA